AATTTAGAAAATTTTATTAATTTTATAGAACTGCTGTTCCCGATCCCTCACTCGTTCAACTCCAGAAAATGGAACTAACAGGTCTCACAGATGGGATCACCGTGGGAAGGCCTGAATGAAGTCTTTCGAGAAGAGAGGGGAGAAGAAACGTGCTGCCTGAAGTGTGCTGCCAGATGCTAGAGTCTGTTGTGAGATACGGAAATTCTGAGATCCAACCAGCCATTGACAAGCGCGCTGGGCGCCGAGAATCGGCCACACACATTACAGGGGTTGGGAAGCTGTCTTTCTTCCTGAGCTTCGCATCACATTCATTGCCTGCTCTTTTTATTTACTTGTTACGTAGAGTACGAAACCTTACCGCTGGAGCAGTAGCTAGCGTAGGTCGTGGTTTGACAGTGGCATACGTGATCGCGTTACCTTTGCCTGTGGATACATCGTCGACTGGTTTATCCTTATCGATTTGGAACACTATTCCATTTTGCAAACCCTAAAAATGCTTGTCCTTTTTCTCAGGAAGTCACATAACCTCGATTTAGGAAGACGAGTAGAAGATCGAGTGCAGACCACACACCATAAGAACCAGGAAAGGCGCTTTTCCCTTGGCCGAGTCTGTTGGCATAAACCGTTTGGACACAGTGAGGACCCGAATTGAGCGTAAACTACGATGTCCCTGGCGCTTCGCGCGCAGGTCAAAGAGGTCTCCCTTGGAGACTTAAAGGACGAATTCACGATGAAAAAGCAACCCATTTCAAATTAACCTAGGGATGGTGAGTGGTACACGAAAGAAGGAAGAACCATGAGAAACGGCCCAGAACCCGAGAAATGGGACCCCTTCCTTGCCCGTTGATTTGAGCATTGATGCGACTCTCATCGCTGTGCCCTCTTCAACACTACGCTCTCTCAGCTATCTAATCACTCGCCACGTATTGAACTACGGCGAGTGATCAGATGATCGGTGGGCGGAGATCGCCGGACCCGCCAGCTTTGAGGCATGATAGGTCGCCGAGGTCAAATTTTTCCATGCGAATTGCGCGTCAGTTCGCACCCTCAGGAGGTCCGTGGGTCCCTCAACTAGGTCAGTTTCCCTTTCTTCGACCTTCATTCTAATCGTGAATTCCTCCTTTAAGCCGTTTAGACAGAGCGAGCACCCGAAGTAAAGCGTGAATTATAATGTTCTGCTGTAGTCACGTACAATGCGCGACGCATTGACGCGCTGAAGTGTGTGCTCGCCTCCCACTATTCGTTTTCTCTGCGCTCTCTCAACGAAGAGAGAATATGTCGAGCCAAACTCGCCAACTGTACTGAGCGCCGTTCATGTAGGAGGTGGAGGATGGCACGCACGCCGGAATGGCGCCTAGTCTAAAGCGGCACTCGGGGCCATTCTTGGACTGCTGCCCAGCGAGGGTAGCCTCATTGTGAGCATAACCTATAGGATTGTCATTGCGGAAATCGCGTCGATGCGACGCGCATTGTACGTGACTACGGCAGGAACATCGTAATTTACGCTTACTTCGGGTGCTCGCTCTGTCTAAACGGCTTATCTCTTCCCCGGGTGCCGCCCAACCTACGCGAAGCCAATCTGACACGCGTCTCATCCTTCGTTTCCTACATGAACGGCGCTCAGTATAGTTGGCGTGTTTGCTCGACGCATTCTCTCCTCGTTGAGAGAGCGCAGAGAAAACGAGAAGAGGGAGGCGAGCACACGCTTCAGACAAGATTATAAGTTCAGGAACATAGGATGTATACCGTAACCAACTTGACGTTGCAC